TGATCTCATCTTGGAAGATAGCGGTCCTGACAATGGAATAGAGTTCAAAAACTTCACATCTGATTTGAAACCGCCTGCGAGACTGAGTACAACGCGGCGTCAGCATGGCAATGTCTGTAGTGAAAGGTAACAAGATTTTATACGTACAAGCGTCTTTTGTCTCTGTAAAAGCAACAAGCACAAAACACTGTCATTTAGGTTGATTAACTCTGAATCCTGTGATCAGAATAGAAGTCAATAATCAGCTGACACGTGCATGCTTGACATACCATCCTTTGTACAAAACGGACCTACAGCAAACTACCCAGTCCCGGTCATCCGCGATTGTTTGAATCAAACATTTCATTTCAGCGCTTCTTATTTATGAAGTGCACGTGACTCGGGCGGGGACGCCGAAGGGACACCAGTCTTTGGGTTTGCCCAACAAAAAACATATTGCTTCACGCTACCTACATACCAGAGGACTAGACACTAATATGTCTGCAGCTACACTCGAGCAATAAGCTCAGTCACAGCCAGCAGCTTGAACAAACCTAGTAAGATGTGAACACGAGGCCCATCAACTTGATCCTCAACAAGGTGTCCATAGCGCACCTGTGTGTACTGCACATCCGGCACATCAAAGCACCGACCGCAGATCGTTTCAAGGAATGTGGTTAGGTGAAGCTATGCAAGGCCGCCTTCTACATCTTCGCACACCGCCATCAAATAGTCACCCTCGGTTCGGACGCCTCTCGTGTTGGACAGAAGGCAACGTGCCAAATCCCGATAAGTAATATGGCGGTGAACGCAGCCATAGGGAACCCTGGCATGCCCAACACAGACACCAAGTTCCAGTCGCCTGGTCTGGCCATCGGGAAGAGAAGACGAATATGGATCAACGATCGAGGGGTCCAATGTAGCCAGCCTGCACCTGAATCGACCAAGTGAAACAACCAAGGACGGGTTCCTCGTCCTACTCAGCGACAGATTCAAGAATATATGGAGATATATGCCAAAATGAGCAATATGTGAGCCAGCCGACCGTCCCCAGAATACATTCGCTCGTCCTCAATGTAACCAACGGGGGTGCCCGTGACCAATCATACCATGTACGCACTCATCGTCAGACACCGAAAACTGATCGTAGACCGATGACTGGATTAGCAGGAGTAGATGGGGAATCACCGAGATCATCATGGGCGATTCAACCGGTGATCCTCAATTTAAAGAATACCTGGCCATCGTACCCACGAGTTTTGTGTTAACCCAGATGACTCCGTTTGATTCCTTTGCTCCGCCTTATTGACCATGCCATGTCGATTGTCAGGGTCGCCTTATCTATATATCTCACCTTCCTGCTTCCTATTACCAGGCAGCCTGATTTGGATGGAGAAGGTCCGCTATTTTTGCGCCCCAAGACAATGATACGGTTTGAGACTCGAATGGCGGTGGTACTAGGCGTTCGTGAAGCACTGACGGTCATGTGCAGTTCCACGAATAGCTTCAAGATCTTGCAGCGTATTTCAACTCGGTTTCAACCCGCGGGGTTCCTGCCAGCTATCCTTTCTTGATACCGTGACTTGACCCTCAGGGGATGATTGATCGTGCTTATCAATACATATCAAGAGGTCTATATCATAGATCCGGCGTGAACGAACTGATGGTGGTCGTGATGCTGGCTGCGTCCGTAGTTGAAGGCGATTATCCGGGCCGTCAATGATCCTTTGGCTCTGTTTATTTCTAAAGCCTTTGCCAAACAATAAGCGTTCCGTACGCCACTTGGTGACCGTCAAGCGAGAAACAGGCACGACAAAGATCGTCTAAAAAACTGATTGCGGCACGCTGAAACGTGATAACACAAATTAACGGGGCTAACCAAGAACGCTCTGCAATGTCGGGTATTCCCGATGCAAGTACTTATCCAATCTTACGTCACTCTTGATCGGGGACTTCTTCCCTTCTTCTACCTCTCAGAGGCCTCCTCTGGCGCATGTCTGTTGGTAGAGGGCACAGTCTTTCTTTCGCACTGCCAACTATGTCCTCGTGTTTCTTGTGCTTCTCCAATCATCAATCATTCACATCGTGCGATATCACTACAATGACAGCGGGCCGTCTGCTTCCTAGTAGTTCTACTATGGACACCTGCAATCCGTTATCGAAGTCTTTCTACCACAATAATAATATTCCGTGCTGCGCGCGTGTCCACAGTTAATGACCAAGAGTCCGACACACCGTATCTCCCTTACTACACCCTCCAGAGGCATCAATAAGTACCAATGCTTCTCTCATACCCAAGACCCCACTACAGTCGATATGCACCGCAGAAGCCCAATCCAATCCAAGTTAAGTTCCGGTTTCTTCTGATATACGTGACAACGAACGAGTGGATAGGTTTGCGCCCGGAATCTGTTGTCGATGACTTTTTCTACAACGATTGTGCCGTGTTCTGTGAACGGCGATCAACAAGTCCAAGTTTGGCTCTCGTGCGCAAGCATACAATTTAACAACCGCGAACCCAATACATTCCGCATCTCTTTTGCATCCTTCAAAGGTATAAGTTATATGAACAACTCTGATGGCTCAATGCTCCACGAAAGCTGATATGAGATTCAAATTAAGTGAGATGATCAAGACACCGTAGACTTTGCCGCAGCACGCAGTCTATCTCTACATCACAGCACAAAATTCATCGTGTCACGATCATCGGCCCAGAGTCTCGCATACTCCAAACATAGTCTGTAGACGTACGCTATTGCCAAACCAAGTCAGGTCAACCAATTTGCAAATACATGCCCGCAAAGCTAGAACGCACCTTCCATATCGACAGTCCTCCCTATCGTCTTCTTCCACTGTCGGCCCGCACGTGCGATGCGCTGTAAACGCTGGTCGCCGTCTAGTGACTGTATTGGGTGCGTTGTAGTCAAATTTGCAGCGGTCAAAGTGGACGGCGAAGGTCCGGAGAAATACGCGTGGATGTTGTATACCTCGGCGTAGGACGAGGATAAAGGTATATAGTGTAGCCTTGCTTGCTATTCAGCCCTGCATCCGAGTGCCAGTTATAAAACACACCATGGCTGTAACCAATCTGACAGGTACTCCCGCCATACAGTACTCTTCATGACGGCACTTTCACTAGATAAAAGTGCCAGGAAACGTCCCGAGTAACCCATGCCATCAAGATCAAGGAGATATTTATACGCCCAGTGCTGGCCCAGAGGAACGGGTGATGCAAAGCGGTGACCTTTTCTAAGTGCTTCCTCGCCGCCAGGATACCCGCCAGTTGTCGAAACAAATGCAACATCCATGATGTCGTCATTTAGCTGTCGCGCAGGGACCTCAGCGGTAATGAAGTTGTTAGCGCTTGAGGGGTCAGCATGGATAATGGTCCGATTTCCTGCTGCACTCTCGTGTGTCATGTGAAGAAATCTGTCATGAAAGATGAGAATCACGTGATAGGGTAGCAAGAACGGATTACCTGTGTCTCTGGTAATACGACGCATAGCCCGGGGGTGTGCTACCACCACCAGTGTCTGCGCCCCGCCAGAAAACGACGCCTATCTTTTCTTCCCATGGAACCTCTAAATCATCAACGTCATGGGGTTCATCACCGTGAGCATTGAACCCGTAAGTGTACCTGGGATGCTGTGTAAAATAATAGTGGCTCGGAATCCTAATATCCAAGAATCCTGAGGCCTTTGCGGGAGATAAAACAGGGTAAAGTACAGGTATCGTGCGCCAGTCCGAGAAAAAGTGGCCTTGGGAAGAGTGAGCCCAGGGATATGAACAGTAGTCGATAGAATCTTCGACGCTTGGCACAAAGGTGAATTCGTCTCCAGGAGCTGGAGCGGAGCCGAAGAAAACTTTTGAATTTTCAGAATTGGGATTGCGGTATGAACTGTAGAGGCGACGGGCTTCAGCTTCGGGAGGACATGTTCGGCGATAAGCTGCCCAAACACTTCCTTGCCCCTTCCAATCAGAAGTAAAGTCAGATCCGACCATGGAGGTGATTCCACCTGAGGCGCAGTTAATGCATGACCCTAAATTCACCAATGTCATATGTAACAGACCTGATGAATCTTGTAACGTCATGTTAGGAAATTGATGGTGTTCCCAAGGTACCAAGATCCTGCCCTCCGCCTTCGAGTTGATGGCAAATTGCATGTCAGGGAGCTATAGGCCTTCATGAACAGAAGGAATGGATAGAGAGGACTGGGCAAACACACCTTATCTTGAAATTTCTCGAGTAAAGTCATAAACCCCAATGCTCTATGTCCGCGCTCGCTACCCGACTTGTCAATGGAGGTGCCTTCGGCCTTGCCATTGACGATGCGGACCAAATCAATAGACGGAAGTTCGGTAACCTGCAAAATAAACGTCATGGTACCATAGTGGAGGGGAGATCACACTCACTTGGACTGTCCTCCTTCGAAACTCTACGCCAGACATATTCCAGAATGGTGCCAGGTCTTCATCAATGGCATCGAACTCGTCCACCAGTCTCACGTTGTTTTCCTGCGCGAATTTCCACCAACCTCCAAACCCTCTGGGAGGCTCGCGCCCGTATCTTTTCCTATATTCAGTCACAGCGCCTGCAAGAGTTTTGCTTTGCCTCGAGAGCATATGCTTGAACTTCTCCTCCGCATCCGCCATCAATTTCGGTATGGGATGTTCGGTGAGGGTGTATGGTTTCCCATCCTTCACAAAAGGGAGCCACTTGGAGGAAGTCGAGAACCAGTTTCCTCGTGAACTCAAGTCTCGTCCAGAAGTTTGATCCTTGTGACCGGCGAAAAGGCCGGCTTGCATAAAAAAGAGGAAGACACAGACGAGGAATATCCAGCCGCGCCATCTTGTTGGCTGTGCATCACCTTGATTGATGGACCGCATTGTTGAGGTGAGTATGAAACCCTGCACTATCGAGCGCGGAGATTACGTTCAAGGTAAGATAGCTGAGGTGAACATGGAGAAGGTTCTACGTGTACCATAAATACGTAATTAATATTGATCCCTTTTAAAAATTATACATTGTTCTGACGATTAAGTCTGTCACGGCCAGCTACCACGTGCACGCATGACCACATTTTGGACTTGCGAGCAGGATTAAGAGATGTACATGTACATATGCATATGATGAAATGTTGAGTTCATTTTTGTATTACATGAAACTGATTGGCCGAGCAGATTCTCTAGCGTTCTTGCCGGTCATCCACTATCACCGGCACCGCCCCCAAAAGTCAATTAGTGAGATCATCACAAAGCAAAGGTGTGTCATGCTGACTGAGTACTGAGTACTGAGGAGCAGTAGCTGAAGACCCCGTCCGATTTTGAACTGAGTAATCGTTTACCATGCATGGGCGGTGATCGACAGATATAAAGCCAACTCTGAGATCTGACCCCTTATCATCGCTTGCAAATTGCATCTCCTCACAACTCATAACAAAATTATGGCAGAATCAAAGGTCTGGCTAGGTATGTTTTCGGTATTTGTTCATCGGGCTTCGCGAATTGACGAATCAATGCAAGTTACTGGATCGTCCTCGGGATTCGGTCGCTCCATGACCGAACTCCTGTTAAAGAACGGAAATAGAGTGATCGCAACTCTACGGCGCAAAGAAGCCCTGTGCGATCTTGCTGAACAGTATCCGTCTTCTCAATTGTTGATTGTCGAGACGGATGTCGTAAAGACCTCAGAGGTCGTTGCCGCATTCGCAAAAGCCAAAGAGGTGTTCGGACGTGTCGATGTTGTTTTCAACAACGCAGGCATGGCTATTCTCGGAGAGATGGAGTCTATGAGCGATGAGGGCGCTCGTCAAATCTTCGAAGTGAACTTTTGGGGTGCATCAAATGTCACAAGGGAGGCTATTCGGATGTTCAGGGAAGTGAACAAACCTATCGGAGGAAGATTATTGCAGGTTTCTTCTTCGTTGGGCTTACGTGGAAGAGCTGCAGCGTCCTATTATGCCGCATCGTGAGTGAACATGGCCATGTGTGACATGAATGCTCATCAACAGCTACTTCTGACAATAGTAAACAAGGTAAGCGTGTTTGTCAAGGTCACATCAGTATCTCAAACCGGATTTTCAGCATTGGAAGGATTCAGTGAGAGTCTCGCACAAGAACTGGACCCAGCTTGGAACATACAGGTTTAGTCAATTTAGTCTGAAGATGAAACTCAAGCTAATGCCAGGTAGATCACCATAATCGAACCAGGTCCATTCCGGACGGGGATGTTCAGGGGAAACATGCAACTTGTTCCTCAACATCCAGCATATGCAGACCCAGAGCTACCTGGTTCTCAATTCCGCCAGTTTATGACTTCAACTCTGGCTGATGGAGACACTGAAAAGGCGGTGGTAGTCATTGAGAAGCTCACTCACCTAGATGATCCACCGCTAAGATTTCCACTGCACAGGATTGCAGTCAGAGCAGGGAGAGAGAAGGCCAAGAGTCTCACTGAAACCATAGATAGATACGAATCATGGACAGAAAACGTCTACTTCACATAGTACAGCTGATGCGTAGCACTCACTTTGGACGGCATTGGATTTGAGCATGAATGTGGCGGGATCTAGAAAATGCTGATGCGATTTACTCTTGTCTGAGGGATCAGCGCTGAGCGCTGATGACACTCAGAAAGCCTTTGGCGTGCAGTAACAGCTAGGTTCGTCCAAGTGACTCGCTACACGCGGGATTGTAAGAAATAGAAAATCAAGGATGTGTGAAGTGCATAGCATACCTTCCAGAGCCCGGTGCCAAATCATATCCAGCCTGACACAAATTTTAAATGGATTCAGATAGGACCAGCGCGAGGCTGCTTGAGTGGGAGATATCGATAAGCAATGGACGGGAAGAGTAGATGAGTTTGTCAGAGTCATGTGATCGCGTGTCATGCCCCATAGTAGTCCGCGTCAACCACAAGGATATTTGCTGCCATCTGAAAATCATTAGAAAAGCGTGAAGCATATCTTGAGTAACGTAATCAAGAATTACAAGTGCGGCACCAAACTAGTCCACAACACCGCCTTGTATGCGTTAGGAGGAAGATTGCGTAAAGTGGTGAACATAAGTACCAAGAGGACAACACGAGCTGTAATGTACAACATGGCAAATGCGAAACAAATCATAAGATATAGACCCCGCATGACGCTCGTGAAGGGGTTTATTATCATTTCCGAGTTTAAGTAGGCACTCAAACAAAGGCAGGGTGTGCAAGTTGTAACGACGGCACTTAGGCGCCATAGCACCTGTTCCTCGTATGTGGGGAACACAAAAAACCAAGCCATACAATGGATGCCGCCGAATATGGTTCCCATAGAATATCCAGCTAGCAGAAGAACCATACTGTCCGAACCTTTGAGAGTGATGCTGCCATCAAATGTTGGAACTTCAAGTTTTCGAGATGTGGCAATGTCAGGCCAGCCTATCAGCTCTATAATTGGGCTGAAGACTCGAGGCAAGTACCGAAGCTGAGCGAATTCGTCTCTGTCGCTGACACTAAGGTAGATAGAATCAACAGCGGTATACTCGTTGAGGCGCATACATACTCGATGTGATCCTCTGGCCTTGACACAGTTGACTTCCAGTACATTGGATGTGGACATTGCACATCGAGAGGCTTGTCCCACCACACAGCATAAGTGAGGAAATTAAGAACCGCAAAAGCAAGTGTCCCCACTTCGAGCTGGGTGATTTCGAGGTGATAGACAGCGCGGGTGATGAGTTGCATGACGAACCAGGCCACCTGGAGCATGACCAATCCTTTCGATATCGCATTGCCTTTGCTCCTGTCGTGGATCTGCTTTGCGGTCAGGGTAGGAGCGTCGATACACTTGTCATGTATCAGTTTGAGAATGTAGTCAGGACGTAGTGTAAGGTAGGGTTTCCCGTTCGCATAAAGCATGAAACCACCCATGAGCACAAAGAAGCTGTGCGTCTGAGTCCACGTAGAAACTAAGGACACATGAGTCAACATTTAGGTGAGCACGAATTGGGCTTACCTTCAGAGTCGGGTTCGGAATGCTCTGACTGTATCCGTCTTGCAACCCACCCTACGAGAGCACAAAGGAAACGCCAAGGAGACACGAGCACAGATAATACACCTGTAAAAAGCAGGAGAGAGAGGCGAGCGGTACCCTCATGGAAGCGGAGAAAGAGGAGAAGAAAGGGATTTCTAGTTCCAGGTGTTTCAACAGACACCCTTTCTAAGGACATGTATAGTGAGTTGTGAGATGCAGAGTTTTCAAAAGTACAACTCACCTTCAAACGCCGGACGAACACTGGGATACCCCGATTCATCGAACTGTCTTGTAACTTGTTGAGCGCTGAGCCGCTGGCGCATAGCCCATGTAACCATCAACTCGGGGGCGATTAGTGCCATTATCATGATGCCAAGTTGTCGCCATATCTAGGGTAGAGCACGGGTACGGGTAAACCCGCGGTTTATCGCTGACGGGTGTGGCGGGTACGGGTACGGTGTGGATTATGGAGACCCGCACGTACACCGTGCATACCCGTCGCGGTTTACGGTGTTGGACGGGTGTGGATCCTTGACTTGTCCGAGGGTGCAAGGGTCAAAATTTAATTACTCATAAATAACCTCCTGAGCTGTCACCATGTGAACTTCGACCGCAGGTACATTGAGTAGCAATGTCGAATCAGAGTGATAATCGACGGCACCAGCTATGCTGATTTGCCAGTGAAATGATATTCCATGTGCTCGGACAGAAGCAATAGTTTGTGGTACCCAGGTTCTGTACGAGTTAAAAGGCCAATGGGTTGTGAAGAAATACAGAATACTATTCAATTCGCGCTTTCTTATGTCTTGCTTCCTGGTCTCGCCATGATCTCATAGATACGCAGGACCTCCTCAGGGTGGTGATGAAGACGAAGAAGAGGAAGCGTAGTAGTTCTACTTAATTAAGTTACTTGCCATGTATACCTCAAAATACTATATGACCCGCGGGTCTGTGAAAAACCCGCGGTATACCGTGAACACCGTGCATACCCGCAGAACTGGCGGGTCGGTGTACACCCGTACCGTGGCGGGTACGGTGTTTGCGGGTACGGGTGCGGTGTGGCCTCAGCGACCCGCGGGTTCACCCGTGCTCAACCCTAGCCATATCATATCAAGGGAGCCGCTGTCCTTCGGACTCGGGATATTGGGGTGGATGGCACTGTATGTGCACGCAAACAGAGTGAGAATGGAGCTGGAGATAATAGTCCATATGGTTCTGGTCGTGAATGATGGTGCTTTAAAACTGTCGCTAGTAGTGGTATTTGTTGTATTTGTTGTAGGTGCAGCTTGGACCACTCCAGCGAGGTAGAGGAAGACGCAGAAAAGTACTAAGCGCATTTTGATTGAATGGGCGTATCATATGCATCCTGTTCACTGTTTTTATCTTAATGGTGAGCGTTAGTACAACAAGGGTGGACTGAAAATAGGCTGATCTTATCTCTCGAGCGTTCCGACGTTCGCGAAAACACATACGTGAGGCCCTCTACGTGCCTTACTTTTCCCAAGATTTGGAAGCCAAAGTACTTCCTGAGAATGGTAACGAAACTCCGGGCAAAATAAATGTGTATATGTGAGCGTCTGTTCTAATCCCGTTCGACAGCGATGACTTGAAGCAGTTGTCCCAATCCGAAGGGTGATGACATGCGTGCATGTATTACCTTCCGTTGTGTCTGCAATCCATCAACCGTACCCTATTGTAGGTGCAGTTTGGATTATCTCAACGAGGTAGAGGAAGATCAGGGAAATAGTGAGTGCATTATTGGGCGTTGTATCACGGTATGTCGTATTCTCCCTAAGTGCGAGGAATGAGCACACAGTTAGAATGTAGTCTATGCCTATTACGAGTAAGAAAAACCCACGCTTTCTTTCTCTCTCCACCACGTCTTGCGCCTTCAGTGCTAGTCATCTGTGTCTCTCAAAAGTCTTGTGCTTGATCTGCCTCTTACAAAACATCAAAACGAATACAATCGGATCCGTTTATTTTCGCTTGGTAGAATGGATAGACTTTTCTCTGACCCAAGCCTTCTAGTATGCCCTGACTTCATGGGCGCGAGGTATCAAGCCACAAGGACAGCCATGGTCTCCCCTACCATCACAGAAGTACAAGCCGCAGAGACTCTACGTACCACTTGGGTGTTAACTAATGAGGATTTGTGTCTTCAATGGAGGGAACAAGTTGCTGAAGACGAACGTCTCAGCGCAGAACGCAAGCGCTTAGCCGAGGAAGAGACTGAACGTGAATGACTAGCCTTTCAACTAGAGGAAAGCACCGCGAGAGCCGATGAAAAGAAGAAGAACCGTTCTAAGCATTCCGCAATTATCATGCGCCCCCGGCCCTTCGCGAACGACGAAGAAGCTCTAGTATCAGAATTTGCCTTGCGAAAGATAGACAGCGGGAAATACGTTGAACTCTACTATTGGACAAACCAGGGCTTAGACGATGCGTTGACCAACTACCGTACCAGAGACGACGACAGCATGGTCCCTTCCATTGGGGAAGATGGTTCCACCGTGTGGGTCAGTGCAGCAACGTCAAAGCCAGCCGCAGGAGTCATAGCGGATAGAGATCTCTCTCCGGTTGACTTCGCCCAGGCCATTCCACGCATCATGGCAGCCATCGAAGAACGTGACTGGACGAAGCAGCGCACTCTGATGCTTGCTCAGTTCTGGGGCGCCATCATGATGCATCGGTACTGGAACTCCAACGACTTGTTAGCCAGTCGCGCAATCTTACTTTACCAAGAGGAGCAACGTCGGGCTTGGCACAGCGCCATCCTTTCATCCAATGGCGCCTGGGACATTTCCATCATAGATGAACCTACTCTCGTTCGAACCTTCGAACGGGTTTATCGTGCTTCTCTCATCCGCACAACGAATATACCTCCGGAAGCTACGGTACGTCGTCAGTCTTTTAACAAGAGAACTGCACTAATTGATTCTTCTATTTTGCACCTCGTCACCTCACGGTACTCTCTATCTTGACATCACTGTGATCATTGATGACGACTTCTCGCATGCTTGCTTGAATCTCGGTCGAATTTGCGTTTAATTGCGTTTGCGTTTGCGTTCACACCCATGTCTGCGTTTGCGTTGCATGGATTCATCTGCCCCGTCCTCCACACCTACCTCGTGTGCTCTCTGTAGCCACAGAGCAGTAGCTCCAACTCGCGAGGTGGACATAGTTCCAACCGTTGCTCGAGGCGATCAAAGCGTTCTCCTTCTCCGCCAGCTAGGAGGCGCTCAGGCTCTCCAGGCACCGAAAAGAAAGCTAGTGCACCACGCACCTCTAAAGCATCTTCTCAATGGCAGGGTTTTCAAGACGGCGCACACAGCAACTGCTCCTCAGCAGTGTGTGCAGTATGTCTGGGGAGCCACAACCACAGCTCCATCGAGTGCACGGCCGAGTGTTTGTGGGACAACAAATTGCAATCTGTCAGCACTCGAGTCAACAAACAGCTCACCTTACGAGGGTCCGACAAATATCTGTGCGTCAACTGGCAGCGTGGCAAGAGCTGCAGCAGTCGTACGCACGACGAGCGACACATATGTTCAGGTTGCCTTTCCACATCTCATGGAGCCCAAAATTGTTCTCGAGCACAGGCGGCTTCATCCAGCGTCCCCTTATGATGCAGCAGCCTGGGAACACGAACTACGTACACATGATCTCATTCTTGAATATCCCAATTTGCTATGCGGTTTACAGTCAGGGTTTCATCTCAATATTCCAATCATCAGTAGTACTCAATCCCCGCCTAATAGCTCTTCGCTCATCACCTTTCGGGATGCCTTCTCCAAAATTCTGGCTCGTGAACTTTCCACGGGTCGTTACATTGGACCTTTCTTAGATGCCGAGCTATGGTCTTTACTGGGTGACTACCAATCCTCTCCCATCTCTATCATACCCAAGCCTGGGAAAGCAAACAAATTTCGCGTTATTCAGAATTTTTCCTTTCCTCTGGTCCCATCCCCAGCCTTCCCCAACCCTTCAATCAACTCACGTACCAACCCCGACGATTTTCCTTGTACCTGGGGGACCTTTGACACCATATGTACACTCATTCGCTCACTCCCCCCTGGTTCACAAGCAGCCACGCGTGATGTTGCTGAAGCCTATCGCACAGTCCCGCTGCATCGATCTCAATGGCCCGCAGCTGTCGTTCGCTTACCAGATGGTGACTTCTGTGTGGACACATGCATTTTGTTTGGGATGGGTCCCTCAGCGGGAGTTTATGGCCTTGTCGCAGATGCGGGGGCGGACCTGCTTCGAGCTGCTGGTATTGGACCCCTCGCCAAATGGGTGGATGACCACCTCTTTTTCCGCCTACTGCGTGAGCACGTGGAAAGTTACAACAAAGTCAGGAGAGGAATCCATACAGTATTGGCAGCGGGAGGGAAAAGACAGACGGGTGGACATTTGTGGCACAAAGGCAGGACATTTGACGATGAAACCTTCGACACATATGCAGAAGATTGCCGGTTCGAACTTCGTGATTTGTCTCAGTCCTCTCCACGCAGTGATTTTGATGCTAAGTTTGCTTATGGATTTGGTGACATTGACCGAGCATCCCGGCCGCTGGGCACTCCTTGGGAATCCACCAAAGACACTGCCTTTGCTTACGGCGGTGTGTACATCAGCCTACTATGGAACCTACCCTGTCTATCGGTCGAACTATCACTCACAAAGAAAAGGAAATACCTGGTGGCGATTGTGGATTGGCGTTCCCAGGCGACTCATGTCCTCCTGGATGTGCAGAAATTATATGGCAAACTTCTGCACTCCTGCCTGGTCGTTAGACCGGGATGTGCTTACCTCACCTCATTGGAGACCATGCTCTCCATCGGGAACAATCGTCCTTTCATGCCACATCACTCAGCCCGACACCTCAATGATGACCTGGACTGGTGGAGCACAAAGCTCACCCAACCGTTCGTTGGTAAGAGCATATCACAACCCTGCACCCTCATTGATGTCCGTGCCTTCTCAGACGCCAGCTCCACCGTCGGCATTGCAATTGTTATCAATGGGTATTGGCATGCCTGGACTCTCAGGCCAGGTTGGGAGACTCTCAATGGCAAGTGTGACATCGGCTGGGCCGAGTGTGTCGGGTTTGAGCTACTCACCCTCGCACTACTCGACGCTTGCCAAGGATGACCACTCAACCACTTTCGAGTCTTCTGCAACAACCAAGGGATTGTCAATGGCTGGAAGAACGGATGGAGCCGAAACTGAGCCACTAACCTGGTCTTTCGCAGAATCCATGAGCGTCTCGAGTCCATCTCCAAGGACACCTCTTTCCACCTCTGCTACATCCCCAGCGCGGACAACCCCGCAGATGGTCCTTCAAGAGGAATCTTCCCTCCCAGTCACCTGCTCCTCCCCCCCATTGACCTTCCAGGGGACTTACCAGGGCTGCTCGTCAATGCAGACCTCTTCGCAGGTGCATCCAGCAGCTCTGACGAGGGGGCCACCAACAATCGGGAGGCAGGTGTTGCTGAGTTGGCTGACGAGGCGGACAATGGAGAGTGGGGAGATGAGTTGCTCGAGCGCTATAACTCCTGGCGAGACTAACTCCCCCCGTTTTCGAAATGCTCCCCCCACAATATCCTTGATGACAGCTGCACAACCTCGCTCTTACCATGCAGCCTTAACACCCAGAGCATCCCCATTGCGCCCACATTGTCTTGCACGAGATCGCCTTCGCTTATGGATACCTGGAGTAGTGCGATCCCGACTAGACCACTTGGGAACATCAGTCGCAATATCAGATAGCGACTTGGAATGTATTCTAACAGTAATAGCTCACTCGCATGCTCCTAGCACTCGGGAGTCTTATGGTTCAGGCCTTTTGGTTTTTCATGTGTTCTGCGATGAGCGCAACATTCCAGAATATCAACGTTGCCCTGCCTCATTAATTCTGGTACTAACGTTCATTGCATCATGTGCAGGAATGTACTCCGGCAAGACGCTGGAGAACTACATCTACTCCATTCAGGCCTGGCATCTGCTACATGGGCAGGACTGGCTTGTGAATCAAGACCAGGTATCAGGAGCGCTAGAAGGTGCAAAACGCCTCGCGCCAAAGTCTTCAACTCGCCCGAAACGAGTGCCTTTCACGGTGGAATTAATCGGCATGCTTCGCACAATGTTGGATCTTAGCACACCCTTACACGCGGCGGTGTACGCCTGTCTGACAACCTCCTTCTTCACAATCGCACACACAGGGGAATTTACAGTACCAACCCTATGGGGTTTTGACCCTGACTGCCACGTTAAAGTCGGAGACATGCGAAGTGATGAAGATCGTCTTGGGCTTCGTGTGACAGTCTTTCATCTACCTTGCACAAAAGTTGCCTTCGAGGGGGAGGATGTGTTCTGGGCATCTCAATCTGGGGTGACAGACCCCCAATCCGCCTTGAGCAACCATTTAATGGTGAATAAACCCTCCACCACGGACCCACTGTTCAGTTGGAGGCATCGCTCGGGACTGCGCCCTCTCACCAAAACCCAGTTCATGAAATGCCTTCAAGATGTGAACAATCGCTTGGGGGGGGAGTCTCTGAAAGGACATGGGATTCGGATCGGCGGGACATTAGAATATCTTTTGTGCGGGGTCCCCTTCGAGACAGTGAAAACTATGGGACGCTGGAACAGCGACTCTTTCCTGCTGTACCTCCGGAAGCACGAGTGATTCTCGCACCTTATCTTCAAGATCATCCCATCTTAGACCCTTTCATGCGCTACACGCTTCCATGATGATGTTATGTAAAAATCGCGCACCTCCTTAAATTATGGGGCCGAGCTAACGCTAGATGTGTTGTCTTGCTCCTTAGAATTCAGGGTATCTCAGCTCACTCTCTCCCATAGCTCTTAAGAAGGTTCAAGGCTTGTTTCGGTCGAAAAACCCCTGCGGGTTTTTACCCAAACACTCGTTCAATTCCTCGCGTAGTTTAATACACTTCACTCGTTTGTTACTCGTTGTTTGTTGCTCGTTAGCCTTACTACAATTCAATTCGCTCGAGGTCAGAGCATAGATCGTATTCTCCCTAAGTGCGAGGAACGAGCACACAGTTAGAATGTAGTCTATGCCTATTATGAGTAAGAAAAACCCACACTTTCTTTCTCTCTCCACCACATCTTGCGCCTTCAGTGCTAGTCATCTGTGTCTCTCAAAAGTCTTGTGCTTGATCTGCCTCTTACAAAACACCCACCCTCCACTCCCTGGAGGCAGCTTCAGCACATTGCGACTTCGGTTCATAGTAAGCTGGTAGCTTGGACATCAGTGGGCAATATACACAATGCCTTGGCAACTGATAGGCTAGTGCCTATGAGAAGGTGCACACAATGCCATTTAATTTGGGACCCTGAATTTGGATTAACCTACTTCGGTCCCGTGAAAAGAGACCGATTAGAGGAATCTATTGGGACCCATCTGTCCTAGCAGTAGGGAACATGCACCTCGGTTCACAACGGTGTTTACGTGTTAAATGAGGCCCCCCACTTTATAAAATGGGACACTTTGAACCGTATTCCCTACTTTCCTTCCACCCCAATCATGGCCTCTGTTGCAGCATACAACACCATTATCTTTGGGGACAACACCTCTGGAAGTCCCTCACCACTGCCACCTGTCGGTGCACTGGTGGTAGTTCTAGCAGCTTCACTGGTCTTAGGAACATCACACACCTTTGCCAGCCTTGACTCCTGGAGCTTTGATAGCTTTATCACCCCTGGCAATCATGAGCGCCTTGGAACTGGAGACCACATTCTGGTATATCGTCAGGTGTTCAACTCCTTTGTGCACCCCCTGCCACTGCCAGTTTTTTCGGCAGCTATCGACAGCATTGCAGGCTGGGGAAGGAAACAGATTGAATTCCGGATCCGAGACTTGAACACTGGGAATTATTACCCCAACACTATCAGGTTGCCATTGGAGATAGTCCATTTGTCTAGGTGGCAACAGATGCAGAAGTTCCTGTATCCTTTCCCCAGGATGACCACTCCCCCTTCACCCCCTACCAGGCAGAGCAAGAAACAGGATCTGCAATCCAGGAGTGGTGGGATCATCGGAGATCGTGTCCCCAGGGATAGCGATGGTCTCCCGATCTGGGATTGAGGTTAGCCAGTGAAGTGATTGTATCTCACTTCATACAGCGTGACTCCAACTGATCCTGATGCACCACATCAGGAAAACGTTAGCTTACTTAATCTTACTTATTTCGACCTTTTTACTCCTTTTCCTACTTATCTCAAATGGACCTACTTATTTCTTTTAAATCAACAACTGCTCCAAATTTGAGTATTCCAATATGTTTATTGTACTTAAGAGATATATTTCATAGCATAAAACTAACACTTGTTTACCAGTATGAAGTGTGAATGGCACATTAATACTAATGATTTTCTTCCTTAAATGCTCTCTTGAGGCACCATCTTGCAAATTAAGAATCCAAAAATTTGATAGCACACATATATGATGATTGTCAACAAACCCTGTTGGTCAATTTTTGACAAGGTGGTGATTTTAAAAAAATAAGGAGGTCCATTTGAAATAAGTGGGAAAAGGAGTAAAAAGGTTGAAATAAGTAAGATTAAGTAAGATTAAGTAAGCTAAGGTTTTCCTGATGCAGATCCTGAGGAGGTGTTGGATGTTGAAATTCAGATTATTGTAACTGTTGGTCTAATTGTCGGATCAGACGCAAGTCATTTGTGACCTTTCTTGACTCATCACCAAAATTCCCCAAATCGGATCTGGGCTGCTAAGGGCTGGCCAGGATGCGGAAGGTCAGAAAAGGTGGACCAGGTGCATCAGCGTACGGAAGGCGGGTAAAGAAACATATAAGGTCTGGTTGATAAAAGCTTTTTCAGGCCAGATGACGGAAGTTGAGTAGGTAACTCGCACCTTAGCATAGTTTGTGACCTTAGAAGCATTGATATGTTGAAAGTTCTGATAAGTTCTGATCACTCGAGAAAATCTGATAAGACCATTTCATTGCAGTAATGTATTACAAGGACAGAGCAGGTTCTAAAAGTACATCTAAGTGCGCCCATGCGCCAAAGCGTCCCATGACAGAAGGACTCTAGAGGTAGGATGACATGCAAAAAGAGCAAAACATGCAACAACGAACAGCGACGTGGAGTGAGGCAGATGCGGTAGTATGAGACACACACTAGGTGAGAAAATCAGTGTCAATGATGAGACAATGGAAAATCATTACAGGTCATTTTCTTCCCTTCTTTTTCTTTGGTGCGCTAGTGGATGCGGCAGTCTTGCGGCCGGCCTTTGGTCAAGCTTGCCGAGGCAATCTTCGAACTGGAGTCTCAACCTCCTCATCCGATGGTTCGGATTCTGTAAGTGGGCTTTCTGGTGGGGCCACCTTTCCCTTTTTGCGGGGAAGTGGTGTGGATTCCTCGGATGGGGCTTTACGAACAGGACGTGCCTTGGGAACAGGACATGCCTTGGGAGTGGGTGGACTTGGAGCAGGTGAAGGTGAGCTCGGAGCTTGTGCCTCCACAGCAGGACATTCCTTGGGGGTGGGTGGACTTGGTGCAGGTGACTTTGGAGCTTCCAGTCACGCCTTCGCAATGGGACGTGGCTTAGGAATGGGACGTGGCTTGGGAGTGGGTGGAGCAGGTAAGGGTGGCTCTGGAGAAGGCGAAACAGGCGGGCTTGTGACCTTGGTCGAGCGCAGCCGTGGGGGAAGCATCTCAGAACTTGCTGGAACAGGAGGAGTTGAGACAGGTTTCGCTACACTCGAGGGATTCGCAGATCGAAGGGCAAACTGTTTGCGCATCAGCGCAATGTCGTCCTCGTCCTCGTCCGGCTCTCCGACATCAGAGGTTGCAGAGGTCGAGAGGGCAGCAGCACATCCAGCCTTGTCTTTAAATAGTTTCCTTAAAAAGTAAAACAATCAGTGCATGTACTACTATAAAATTTTGACATACAGGTTATAATGTTGCAGAGTCGCCATAGCCCATGCTTTGTCCGGTGGATTGCGAATGACGTCGATAATTCTGTAATAGAATTTTCGATATGAGAAATTTCCATCGTCCATGGACCACTTGTCACGAGAGGTAATTGCAGAGCGTGCCTATAGAAAATGAATGAATCAGTATATCGCCTTCAAGGGAATAACTCACCTAGACAGCTGAATAAGCGATGTTTTTGGCTTCCACAGCCATCATTCTGTGAAGTACCACATTGCAAGAGTTTGAGACATGAAAGTCGTCTCCAGCGAGTGCAGATGAGGGGCCGGTGAGTATATGTTTCATTACCTTGAATAATGTGCCAGTGAGTTCCTGTCATGAATACCAGTATACGGAAACTCACACGTTCAATGAGGAATCCTTCGAAAAGGCCGTCCTGTATGTTTGTTATGTCGAAGTCCTCCCCAGCGACTCCAGTGGCTCCAGCCCTATACATCAGGGCAGGCCAAGCTCATGCATCCATCTTGATAGTGCCAGCCTCAAGCTTGGCTTTTGTGCTGGTTAGGTGATGTTAGTTCATAGAAATATAGAAAAAAGTATAATGTAGTATGTACGCTGACGGGTCCGTTTGATACTCTGAAAGAAACTTTATGGGGCATAGCATGTGAGCAAGTTGAGGGTGGTTGAGACCCATCTGTGCACGTGATTCCTTGGTATCAGGGAAGACGGGCGGCACCAGACCTTTTCCATTAAACACTGCATAATGTGTAGGGAATAGCACGGGTAACCCGTGGGTATTCCAGCCTGTACCCGTACCCATACCCGTGCCACACCATACCCATGTGGCCGGGTACGGGTACAGGTACGGGTACGGGTACGGGTCCACGGGTATGGGTACGGGTCTGTGGGATGAGTGGTGGTAGTAGGGCGCGAGTGGTGGTAGTAGCACACTGTAAAGTTAAAGATAGTAGTAAACGAGAAAAAAAAACATGCACACCTGGAACAAGCAGCGAACGACTGAGGAAGAATGAGAGGGCGCGAGTGGTGGTATGCACAAGAGTAATCATAAGTTACTAAAAATGATCAGTTAGTATGATGAAGTAGCATAAAAACATGCACCTTTGCAGCCCTAATATCACCAACTCCCCATCTAGAGTCGACTCTAGATGCGCCGTGTGCGCGCGCTGTGAATGTACCCTAGCATAGAATGGCTACACTGCGACTGTGACGGGTGCATCACGGGTACGGGTATTTGCGTGGGTCACAAAATCCTGACCCATACCCATACCCAGCAGTACCCGTACCTGCGACCCGCCGCGGGTTACCCGTACCCGTGCAGTTCCCTAATAACGTGCAATGCTCCTTTTCAGATGAGCCGCATCTTCGGATCGCACCTGTCCAATCAAATATTGCATCTGTTTGATCATTAGTCAACTGAAAGGTGCATATATGCGCACATACCTCGTCAAGGATCTCCTGCAGTTCATCCGATTTTTTGCGACCACCTCTTATGAGTTCTTGAAGGTAAGGGGCACCTGTAATGATCTTCTTGAACGTCCGGAGCATCTGGTCCTGCATATCTTTGGATCTAGTCACTGTTAGCAGTAATAAAGTCACGAAACGCAAAAAATATCACTTACATGTTAGCTAAGAGAGTATCGTGCATGTCATCTGCGTCGGAGTCATCATCCAAGTGAGCACGTGCATCCTCGATGATGGGTGCAATGCGAAAGACGTCCTTGAGGATGCAGAACATGTCGATCCCTCGAGGGATCCACTGAGCAAAGTGAAGACATTGGTCCCATGGAGTTAAAGCACCCCTTCAGATGTTCGAGTCTTATCAGAATCAATGTCTCAAGTATTAAAGAAACTTACTTTTCCTTGCGATTATCCTTTCTATGGCTAATATGCAATATCAGTCAATATATGCGTGCATATAAGTGAAAAAAACTTGCGATCGTGGACGTTTAGATGCCTTAGCCTTGACATCATGTATTTCGAGCTCTTCTCCACTATTTTCTGGAGCTTTGCGTTTCCATTTGCTGGATTTCGATGGCTCTGATGTTGACTTGCGCTTCCCAATTTTGACAGGTTGGGGAGAAGAATCGAATGATGTTACTGAAGAACCACGCGCATAGATTGAATCTGAGTCAGGGGGGTCAGAGGAGCTCGACGCCACGCCAGGACGACGATGTGAAGACATGATGGTTAAGGGTTACAATGTTAAATGTTAACATTAAGCAATGAACGATCATTTAATCATTATTTGTACATGTTAATGTGAATCTGCCACAACAGTGATTATATGCGCAACAAGAAGTACAAAATTAATACTACAGTTACAACTCGAGTGATTTACATTACTATTAGTCCATGAAAGTAAACACGACAGTGATGAAACACGATAACCTGCAATATTGTGCTGCAAAAGAGTGATACAGTGCACGAAGAAAAAAAATTAGTCTAACTAATCGAGCTTTAAGGCTTCTACAGCTGTGGGTAAGGTCATGAGTGCATCAATCTGAGTGATTCGCATTGTGGTAGAGCTTTCCCTGAACCCACGGCGGGGAGGCCACATATAGTCATGCTCGTCCTGGAATTTCTTCTGTATACGGACGATGCTGGGAGGATCCGTGGGGATGACATGCAGCACAACAGGCTTTGCGCTGATGCATGTTTGAGTCCCTGCAAGCACCATAAGAGCTGAGCCAATGTCACAATAATGAATCAAAAAAACTTACCTGGACGCCGGTGTTGGCTCACATACCATCGTAGTGTCTGGATCCTCAGCGACAGGCTGTGATTCACTACAAAGTCAGAATATGTTAGTACATTCAAGTTAATAAGAAGCGAAAAAATACCTCTTGGCTTGTTCATCAGCTTCGTCATCGCTATCTTTATCTTCGATCATCCTGAACTCTACAGCATCCTTCAACCATAGTATAATTTTCTATAGTATCAATGTCAGTACTAAGAAATTCAAATATATTGAAGACACATACCAATGGGCCCGGGTGTTCCAGTGTAAAATCAAGGGTATAAGTCGGCCATCCAGACAGCATATTGTTGATCTCCAACACGACAACATTGTCGTGGAAAAACGACGTCCTATTGGCCAGGTCGAGGTGATCTTCAGTATTAGTGATGAGCATTATACAGACGTGTCAAACGATTAAAATTAATGGTGTTGGTATAAGAGATAAGCGCTAAGCAAAGATCGACGCGTTATTGACGCTTTGTTTATTTCCGGAAAATGCCGACTGACTTTGAAAGTCACGTGACTTTCGAAACGGGAAGTCCGAACTTGTTTTGTACCATTGACTTATGCACTCATATCCTCATTCACAATTTTCACTTATGTGCCTGGGAGGTGCTGGCTGTGCTGGAGGTCAGCGCGCCAGCACCTATGATCTGGCGTATATTCTTGTCTTAGGCGCCCTCATGAGGGAGGTGACACCTTGAAGGTGCGTATCCCTAACCCTACCCTAGTCACAATGCGCTCACTACATTTACAGTTCTCCTTACAGCCGTTTTGAGCGCAAACACTACCTGCAACACTCGCAACGTGAGAACCTATCTTATCTGATTCCCAACTGCTGGCTGTATATCCTGTAGCGCGACCTCGAGTCTAAATTGTCCACAGACAACCCAATTTGATACAAGTGCCTTTCTCCTTCCCCTATACCGCATCACACCCTTGCCCTCACATCTTGCAAACTTTCATGATTCAAAAGTCAAATAACCGCTCCAACATTGATCATCAACCTTGTCAAGATTCTGATGCAGGCATCAAGCAACGGGGACAATGGTGGGCCGAAAGTCAGTCAATTATGTCCTGAGTTGTCTGCCATTCTTCTTAACCTTTAACGATCATCAGGCATTATTCCCTTGAAGTAGTACAACACCCTATGCGTGCCCGTATGTGCGGTTTTGGTGATGAAGTGCACGAGCCGTCGCGCCTTTGTCTCATAACCTTATAACATTTATTATCAGGATCGCAGGCCACTCGCGCCTGCAGCAGTCGCAAAGATGGTTGTCCGAAGAGAAGATAACGGTACATCTCAATGAACAACCGCAACGGCATACCCAGCCACTCTCAAGCTCGTACGCTGACCTGCACCAAACTGGTTCGGTGCATGGATGACCGATACTCTCCTATGAGCCCCTATGCCCTAGAATTACTATGAAATCATTTTCCCTGTGACCTGAAGTCAGACTGAGGCTAAGGGAATATTTTTCGCTTTTTTTTCACTTTTACGAGTTTGTACGTGAGTGGATTGAATATTTTTGTACATTTATTCCTGCGATGAGTTTTGCTTAGTCAGCCATGAGGGTGACTCAGACAGATTCTCACACATATCAGGTGACTGTGAAAAATATGTTTGCGTAAGGTTACCCTGTGGGAAAGCTTACAAATCACTAAACACGTGTCCTATGTCATTATGTTACCAGTCAATTCATCAGCCACAGATTTTATAAACATACGTACACAATATGTAATCATTTCTCACTCTTGTCTAGCTGAGTCACCAAGGGTCACCTGACCCATGAGCCATACGCAGCTCTTGCTGACTCATCATTATACCAACTAGAGTTATGAATATTTACTTTTGACTCAAAGATACCATGTGACTTGGTGCTATCGAACTAAAGTTACAACTTTAAGTACGAGAAACTAGTAGTATAGCCACCAAATTTGTCTATATAAGGACCAGCTTTTTGCCCAATAAAATAAGCAGTTCCCCACTGTTTTTACTTCTCAGAATAAAATTGTGAGTGAAGTGTGAATCAGCAACCAGCAAGTGCAGTTCAAGGTTGGAGCTCACTGTGCTCAACAACCAGCACAATACTTCTGAGCTCATTGTGTTGAACATCTAGCACATACCTTGAGCTCGCTGTGTCTGACGACTAGCAAGACTAGTCTTTCTTTTTCTGTTTTTCTCTTGATTGTCTGTCTGAATTTCTCTGTTTCTTTTTGTGTCATTGTCTGTGTCTCTGTCTGTGAATCTCTCTGTGATTGTTTTTCTTTTTTTTTCTCTCTCTGAGATCGTGTCTGAGATTCGTGACTGAAGCTCGTGTTTTCTGTTTCTCTCTCTGTTTCTTTGTTTCTCTGTTTCTCTGTTTCTGTTTCTCTCTCTCTGTCTCAAGTGTGTGGTGTGTTGGTGACTGTCTATACTGACCATCTCTCTGATCGCTGTCTGTTTGCTTTGTGATCATTGTTGCTAACAGTCTCCGTGATCGTGATCGTGTTCGTGTTTTTGTTGTTGTAGCGGTCTCGTTTTGTTGATTGACTCAACCTATCAACTTTCTCTCAAGTACCAAAGTTTCAGTCTCACTCTTACCCAGAAGTTTGGTGTTGTCTCTTTTGTCCACGGAAGACTCTGATAGTCTAGTGGGGAGACTTTAGGTGTTGACAGTGATACCTGACCTCTTACATCTGTGTGTTATACTGATCGAGGGTAGTCATTGCGAGTTAGACTTTAGCTATTGAAAAGGGGACTTGGTATTGAAATCCAAGGTCGCCCGTTCCTGAGTCTGTTTAATACTCATTGTGAGTTCCTTGGCAGCAGGTTCAATATTAGGCTAAGAGTGCTACAAAGGCTTGACTAGGCCTGACGGTAGTTTCACCTGTTTTTGTATTGAGGGGGACTCTCATTGTAACTCCACACAACTTGCTGCACTAAGTTTGTGTACGAATCCTTGTTGCTGTGTGAAGTGTTAGGAAGAGTGTCTGTTTGTTTTGTGTCATCTCTATATTGTTAGAGTGACTGTGTTTCCTGATTTTTGTTTTGTTGTTGTCTGTGTTGTTGTGATTGTTGTTGTTGTCGATCGCTGACTGACCGAGTTCTGTGTTTTTCTCTCATCGCTGTGTTTCATATCCATATTGTTGGATTGACTGTTGACTGCTGATCGCTGACTACTGACTTTTTGTGTGAGCCATATTCTACTGACTGTATCTTAGGAGCAAGGCAAGCCACCCACGAACGACCACGTTATCAGTCATTGGTATTTGTCTGAATCGCTGACCGTGGAGATATTTGGTTTTATAGGTGTTCATCTATAGATCATCTATCTAAGAAGACAACGCTACAAGCAAGAAGACCCTCTGCTTGAATCGTGCTTGCTATTGGACCTGCTTTTGATCCTTATTTGAATATGACTATGGACGGTAATGATGCGATCTTCTAGTTGTATCTTGCCTTCCTGCGCCGATTTACATCTCTATTATTTCTACGACATGCACATTTGTAGTAGACACAGCTAAATCATCAAATCATTATTTTCAACTACAGCGCACCGTATCCTGCCTGAGCAAGGACATCATCATCTAGCTCCTCGTCTGAGTCTGGAATGACTCTATCTGGATCTTCCTTGTCATCCTCCTCCTCCTCATCTGTTTCCCTGTCATCCTCATCTTTGTCAAACTCAACAAGCTCCTCTTCTAGATCTCCCTCGGCACCCTCTATATCAAGATCTTCATCGTCACTTGCGGCAGTGTCCTGTTGATCAGGTGCGCCATCACACTGCAGGAACTCATCCCATTCTCGGGTAATTTTATGACCAATCCCGCCACCACGGAAGCGCATGAACATGTCACGGTCTACAAATCTATTTAATCGAGGTGAGATATTGTCCTGAGAATAAAACACCTGACTTACATGTTGACATAGAAATATCGCCAGTCATCATCAGCCTCTTCTTCACGTCGAACAAAGGAAGGTCCCAGATACTGGTTTGTGCGTTTGTATGCATAGGCGGGAATCAAATGCACTCTGCGAATCACCTGATCAGGATTGACAAAGCCAAAGCAGCCAGAATCAACATCTGGATTGCTGGTGTCATTGGTAATAAAACCGATGCGATGCAGGTGTTTGTTTGAGAAACCAGCTGGAAAGGTCACATCCCGTCCAAACCAGCGCACGAAAAGAACATCCATATGCCTCAAGGTCGAAGGTGTGTTATCACCACCATAGTACCAAACATTGACGTGAAATATGCGGATTAGTCGAGCATACCAGTAAGGATGCTTTTCCTCATCATTCTCGTGTGAGAGGACCATTAAATCAGCTCGAGTTCGAGGGTTAATACAATCCTGTTCCCTTCTTAGATCGTAGGTCGTGTAATTGATCTGTAAAATACTATGCTCATGAATCTTGTTGTTTGCCAGGATAATGAGGTCTCGGTCTGAATTGGAAAAGTCATGTTCATCGCCTGAATATTCAATATCTCGGAGACGAGCAAGGAGATGATCTTTGAGCCGGGGGATGAAGTTCTGAAGGGAGCATTGTCAATACATATACAAGCATGTATGCAAAAAATAGACCATTTTAGCAGGATCATCGTCTTCAAGATCACTCAACCAGCCAGTAAGGTCGTGTGATGCCCTGGGATATTTCGAGATGTGATAGTGATCAGAGGGGGATGTTCGTTGTCATTGTCGTCTTGACTGCCCCAAGTGTACAGCAATGACCCTACCCACTTGAGTGTTGATCTTTGCAATTAGACGAATTCGTGCCTCTTGAACCACCATATTCTTCAGCAGCGTCTTCTTGTTCTTTGGTGTCCTAGGATACCAGTGTTTAGCACGTCGGTGCTGCAGCTCACCCTAGGAGAACACCACTAAGCACTAATTCAAAAGTTAATTGTAGCACTCACCGGTTGTGTTGAATAGTTATCTGTTGTTCCCATGTGTCGGATCGTATTGGGATAGTCTCCGAGCGCATGGTACTTGTATGTCTGAAGGTTAAGGTTCTTGACCTTTGGGCCAGATGACTTTCCCTTCCCCTTTTGCTTCGAAAGTAGACCTTCCTTGGCACTCAGAGCAGCTTCGCGTCGTCCTCGTGTTGCGTACTCCTAGGGAAGTTCAGTAGTATGGTAGTGCATACATGTACTATTCTGAAAATTCCAGACTGTCTTTCCAAGAATAACTGTAGCATGGTCGAAGAGCGAAAGTGTATCATCAGTGTGCAAGCGGAGCTTGGCAAAAGCATGCCACACTGCTAAATCAAAAAGTAGGTCCAAGACCATTGAATTGTGAAGTCCTGGTAGGAGACCCTTGAAAACTGGAAGAGCACACTACATAATATCATAAGCACAACGCACAAACAATTCTATCGAATTACCTGGAGAAGATCTTCAAAATCTCGAGCTGCTAGTCGCTTCATAGCTGAAGCATTTGTATGGAATCGTTGAATAGTGCCACGGCTGAAAGTGGGGATCATTCGGTAGCTTCAATCACATGTTAGATTAGCAAAAGGCTATGAATGTAATTACTCACCGTTCATTTAGATCCTGAATCACTGTACCACCTTGAGCATGGAGAATGCGCAATAAGTGAATAAAGATGGCCTTCCAAACGCCAAGTTCAAACTTGTGCAGTAGATCAATCACAAACATCATGAACACATTGAAGTCGAATGGTGCGAGCTGAACTGAAAATGCATTCTATGTTGGTTCATTGAGTATCAATGTGAGAATGCACGGAAAAGACAAACACTCACACGAACAGGAACATAAGATTCAGCATTGAGAAGCGCTTTGACACGAGCACCATCAACAGATGCACCTGTTTGAGAAATAAGTTTGCGAGCATCTTCTACACGACGTCGGCGCCGTTCATTATCCACCCATTGCCTAGTCTCTCGGCATTTCATATCAAGCTTGGTGCCCATATCAGGGACATTAGCTTTCTTGACGAGGCAGCGTGGGCATAGACAGTTGCCTAAAAACTTGATGGTTGCAAGAAGAACCCTAGTAGTACAATAAGCTACTAAGCACAACAATTAAAGAAAAACTTAGACGCACTTCTCAGGATAATCTGCAGAATACGAAAAAAATTGAGGAAAAACGCGCCGTGTGATTCCATCACTACAATGAATGACTACACCATGCTCGTAGGCGTGCATAAAGTCACCATCAAGCAACAGCTTCCAGATCGCTTGGACGAGTTCACGCTTAAGGAATGTGTGGACCTGGTCCGTTGTGGCTTTGTCAAATATGTCAACATATATTTCTTGAAGATTGTTGGGGAGCTGTAATATATATAACTCAACTGCCATATAAACAGTAATGAAGATAAAACATACCGAGGGAATGTAGGCGAGGTGGTGACACGCAAAAGATGTTGGTTTTCCTCGGGTGTACTTAGATTGGTTGCCAAAGTACAGGTAGAATGGCCATAGCGAGGCGTCTCCGAAACTGGCAAGATGGGTCACATCAGACCACATCATGAGAGGGGCCAGCACACGTTCGAGGTCGTCATCTGGCTCACGAGGAAAGGCATTGATCTCGGCATAGGCATCGAGCATGGCAGGTGAGGAGTACGCTTCGGAGAAAACTTGGACTGTTTTGGTGTCAGAGACCTTCCAGTACTCGGAATAGGGAGTCATGTGGAATGTCTTGGCAATGTCATCCTCGAACGTTGAGCGGATGATTGACATTATCGAGCGGTGATAAATGCCTGGCACCTCGAGTTCTGGTGCATCCTTCTCAGATGGCCATGTCTGTCATTCTTTCAGAAGGCGTATTCTGACTGTTGACTGACACCAGCCAAATTCTTCTCGCAGTGGATTTGTCTTATCTTGTAGATATTTGTCCATCAGTTTGGACTCACGAGCGCAGTTGAAGCCAAGCAGGTCTTGCAATTTGAAGGCTGGGTGCTGATGGAAGTGAGATAGTCGGTTAACTTCAGCATCGGACTTGTCATTAGTTCCAGTGTAGCGCCAGGTCATCATCAACCCACACGTCGGATTGGTAAACGGATCGAAAATATGATCTATATCCACATCGGGTGGTGCAAATCCTGTAGATGCATGCACATCGGATGACTCTGCTCGTTCTCCATCTAGTGTTGGTGCATCTGTTCGATTAACTAGAGATGAGTCGTTCAGAGGAATGAATGTGGGGTGCATAGGGTAGATTCGATATAAGCCCATGGAATCTGGCTCGGTCTTGAATGGTTTGGCCAATGGCTGCTCATCGAGAGAAGGCTCAGATGGAGGTCGTGGAGGAGATGGGTGATACTCGGGTTGTTGCCGTGGCATGTGTGCCAGGGGTATATCTGAGCCAGGAAGATAGTCGATGAACCGTCGAGGCATGCGGATAGCACACCCCGAACGTTTTGAAGTAATGGGTGGAGGTGGGGTGGGCAGAAGTGCCTGAGCTGACGGTCCTGCAACAGGTGCATCCTAAAAGAAATTACTACGATACATGCATATAATCAGTCATGAACTTACTACATCATGTGGCTGACCTGAAGGCCCTGCAGCCTGAGGATCATCAAACAGAATGTTCTGATCAAGGTCGACGTAGTCGAGTTCTTGCTCAACAACAGGGGTAGGTAAACGAGACTTCTTGGCATTGCGGAGCTTGTCTCTGGCTTGCGACTTTTGTTTGTTCTCCCGCTTTGCAAGAACTGACTCCAGGGTGAATGCGCAGTTCTGCTGGCATTGCAAGGCATGCTTGGAGAGCTGTTTCTGTGTTTTGTAAGATTTCCCACAACCAATGCAAGTAGGAATGTCCATGGCGAAAGCCTGCAACGAAAACTTGAGAATATGAAGGGCAGGGAATCAACTCACAGGTTTGGAGTGCTGAGGTTCCAAGTCGGAGCTGATATTCAGCAGCCATAAGGTCACCATGCGGAGAGGAAAGGTCGGTTCCTTATGTAGAGACAGAACTTCAGAATATGAATAACGGAGAATCACTCACCTTGTCATTCCAAGTTGAATATGGCCATTGGTCACGCAATAAGCACAATAGATCCCCAAGTTTGTGGTGGCACTCAAACCGGAGGGTCTATTGAGCTGACCGCATGAGGGTAATGTGAGATGAAAGGGCAAGGTCACTGCACTAAGTAACCGCGAGTCCCGGGCCATGAAGAAGTGTCACAGCATGTGACATGTTGGCCAACTGGCCGATTGAGATCAGGACATATCTGGGGAGCATGAATAATATCTGAACTTACCAGAGGCACGTCAGACTGACGGGAACCTTAGGAACACACAAGTGTGCTGCTATACGTCTGAGGGAGTGGTGTTCAACGTGCGAGCTCATTGCCATCACACGTCATCACACCGTCGGCTCTCACAAGTGTGTGGCGCGGGAAAATGTCCGCATAAGGCAAGTTCAGACTTGGGGAATTTTGGTGATGGAGCTGCTTGGCCCACCCGCCCATCTCAGCTCACTCTCTCCCATAGCTCTTAAGAAGGTTCAAGGCTTGTTTCGGTCGAAAAACCCCTGCAGGTTTTTACCCAAACACTTGTTT